AATCCTTTTGCCCACAAAGAGGCAGATTATAACTCTACATAGGTTGAGTTTGAGCCTCATTATTTGCCGCAATACATAATGGTTTCTAAAGCTATTCTTCCAGAATGATTGCTACGCTATTTATGGTATCAGAACAACTGAGAGGACCGACAACATCCAGGGCTGTAATAGGTTTAATTCTGTAAATATGCCAACGCCCTTTTTAAAATGTACCCCTTGTTAACAGCATCCTAAACAGTGACGCTTCACCAATTCACTTGACACCGTAAAGATACCAACAGCTTTCCGTTGTTGGCTGGAGAGCGTTTTAATGCATCAGTATCTGGTTGTCAATGGCCGATAGGCTAAGCGATAGACGATGCGGAGTCGCCATATCTTTATTCAATATAGCATTTTCGCTAGTCTGGGCCAAATTTGCCCGCGAAGTTTGGCCTGGGCAAAATCAGCATCAGTCCTTTCCCATTATTACGTGATCCGACATAATGCGTCTCAAATTCCATGGCCTGAATAGCTTCTGTCCCCAAATCCCTTTTCCCACTGCTTCTCCCTTCCTCTTGCGCCTCTCGTTCCCTCTGCTTCCCCGCTTCTCGAGCCAGCACAAGCGGCTCAAATTACAGGCCAAACATGCCATTTATTCCACCCTCCCCCGAAAGAGGTCCATCATTTTCGTCTCCAGCGCCGAAGCCTCTGTCTCGGCCAACTAGGCCTAGACGCTTGCAGTTGAGCCATATTTCCATCTGCCCATTGGGCAAAGAGGCGCTTTTATCACCTCCCTCTTGCCTCTCCCGCCTCTTTCCGCCTCTGATAAGATTGTCTCCCAACCTAGAGCAGGCGTCACAAGGATCCTAGCGCTTTTGCCTACCCACTGATGCTCCTGAGCATCGACCCATCTGCCCACTTTCCAGCTGAATTGGCCTGACTACCGCTCCAGCACCGGTCTTGTCCTCGCCTCATCTCCTCGTCTGCCCCGTCATGGCTTCGATTTTGCCAGTCACATTCACGTGTTACGCCTCAATGGCTTACATCTTTGCCGGAAGAAAGATTAGTCTCTAGTTGAACATACAAATAACTCGCAGACGTGGACGCAGCCAGCCGGACCAGGATGATGCAACTGCATAAAATCATTTATCACCTGCCTAACCCAGCTCAATTAAACTAGACAAACTTGTTTAACCAAGGCAATTGTTGCTCCCCCCTTCATTGTAGACTATTCGACTTTGTTCGTCCGCTAAAAATGTCTCTTAAAGAAGGTTGAAATCATCAAATTCACAGAGCACACAAGATGTTCCGGCGTATGCAGCTTCATATTTCACAAATGCGCCCCTTTCCTAAGTCCCCTAGTTGTTATCTACGTGTGAGTTGCTAGAGTGAATCCTACAAAATAGCTACTCGCACGTCGCCACTTAGGCCTTGATGAAACGACTTGGTGAGTTTAAAGTGGAGCACAGTTTGTGTATGCTTGAAAGCTATCACTAATTAACCAGTACGCTTAAGGTGATTTAATAAGTGATGGCGAATTTTCCTTAACCGTGATGCTTAGACCTTTAAGCATACTGGCATTGAGTAGAAATAATACCCAAAATTGGTACTGCAAATACAAATTTGCTCCATTGACAATTTCGCAATAAAAATGTGATATAGGAGAGGACTAGATTGACTTGGAATTCTGCTCCGCTTTGTGACTGACTTGCATCTGCGGCTGTGTAGCGGTGTGGTCACGTACCATTGCGATGTGCACGACACGAATTCGAATCATGGTGGAGGTACTAATGAGACCCGTGCAATATCAAAACTGCGATCTCTCAATTGCAATATGGGAAAAACTGCACAACCAGT